AAGGCGTCAAAGGCGCCGAGCGCAAAGCGCTATATTGTGTTAGTGAAAACTGCACCAAGTCAATAAGATTAGGTTTGCATTATGAAGATGAGTTCGATACTGTTGAAGAAGTTTTGGATAGATATTACAAATTGCTTTAATTTACTAAAACATATTTCAAACAAAGCTTATATTCTGTTGAAAGTTTTGTATACTCGTTCGAATATTTATACTTAAACTCAACTCCTGTAGTTCCTGGTATTTCAATGATGCGGATGTTACCTATTTTTCATGAATGGTGGCGTTTGACCACAGCATTCGATTTCAGGGTCGAGATAGTCAATGACACATTGTTTCCCTGTTATTCGTGATATAACATTTTCAAGGTCCTCCTTTGTTAGAATTATTTGGTTCTTGCTTATAAGATTTGTCAAAAGCTTCTTATCGTCTTTGAGTAAAATTGTTTGGTATAACTGAAGAAGGTAATGGTCTACGTTATCTGAAGGATTTGTTTGAACATTTGTGTAAGGGTTGTCGTTGGCTTCTCTTGAAAGAACTTGGTCCAGTGGTGGATACTCTAACTTAACATCTGATGTAGCGTTAGCGTTTGAAGCTGAGTTTAAATTCACGGATTTCAGTTCTGGTTCTTTTTCTTTCAAACACTCTGAACTATAGTTCTTTATGACAATATTGTTTGTCGTTCGTGAGTCAACATTTGATGTTGGTTCAATTGGAACATTAACGGCACCAGCTAAGATGGATTTGCTTCTCATTTCATATAGAATAAAAACCTTTTATATGTATGAAATGAACAATATACTCGACAAGGGTTTGAATGTAAAGCTAACGAATGAAAATATTGTTGAATTCACCGAGACAGGAGCTGTGTATAAAGATGTAGAACTACTGAACAAAAGAGCAAAGGGAAGAAGCAGGAATATGAACAAAGGGTGGAAGCCTATAAAAATTTATGTCAATGATGGCTCGGGAGGTTCAAACATAAAGTATGCAGAAAGTTATAGAGTTTATGCTCTCAAAGGTGAAAAGCCTTCATTTAAGAACAGCTATTCTAACGCATATCCTCAAAAGCTAACGGATGGAGAAGTGGATGATATGAATGACAGCAAAAATATTAACAGAAATGGCGACAGAGATGCATGGAATTTGTTTACCATCAGTCAATTGAAGGTTAAACTTTAAAACAATGTTGGTCGTTCCCATGGAATATTTTTGACTTTAATGGTATTAGTCATGATATGAATCTCAAGGTATGAACGAGGAGAGATGAGAGACTTATATGCTTCCCAAATTTCTTCAAAAGGTAATGTTATACCTGACTGTTTCCAAATGAGTTCAATGTCATAACGTGAGAAACCTTGAAAGATAACGAAGTCAGTTATGAGACGTTTTATGTTTAAAGCAAGAAAACGCCATGTTTGCATAAGTATTGCTACAGTTAAGTGGTAATGTCTGACTTTAGTAATGATGTTAGCTAATGGTGAGTCAGGCTTTGACACTAAACCTTTTTCCGGCGAAGTCGTCGCAAACGAGCAGAGTATTTGAAGGATACTTTTTGAAGGGGTATTTTGAAAGTTTTGACAGAATGTAGTTTGTAAGTCGTTTCATATCGTAAACTCCTGAGTATTGACGTAAGTGGTGTTTGTCAATAATTCTTTCCATCTCCTCAGAAGTCTTTTGCATTCCTGACTGTATAAATTCAACGATGGCATAATATTTCCTCTTACGTCGAACGTAACGTTGAAGAAATTCAATGAGTTCGCTATCTGGAACTTTAACGACAGATGCTTGAACTTTTGACATAAATGTTTTCGCTGTTGAGTCCATAGAGTCTGAAGTTGCTGATATAATGATTTGGTCATAATATGAATCTTGACTTAAACGCTCTGTTATGAGTATATGACGAATGAGGTTAAATGTCTTACCTGAACCCATCTTTCCACAATAGAAATACACACCATTTGAACAGAACTCATAGTCCTTACTGAAAGGAAGAATGAGAGAAGAGTTAAGTTTGTCTGTAGTTTCATTCATGTCTTCATCTACGTCATGTATTAAATGCTTCATTTTATCTCCATTAAAAATGCAAGTCAGAAATATTCAGAACATAGCACCGAGTCTAACTGACAAGAGTATAAAGATATACTATGAACACGTTATGATGAAACCTACCAAAATTCAAGAAAGTCAGTATACTTATGAATATCCAAGGCACTGGGTAGAGTATGTAGGAGGTGAGAAAGCTATTGAAATCAGACAGGTTCGAAGTATTCCAGCAGGAAGAACAATATTATTGAAGAACTTTAATGTTTTGAGGTATAATGATGAAACAAAGAAGCAAGATAGTTTTCCTGTTGCTGTGTATGTGAACCTAGACACAGGAGATGACATGAAAGTTTTTAACACAAAGCTTCAAACGGTAGTGAGAGAACAACTGACTGCGGAAGGACATCCATTACCTTCAGAAGTTAGCATAGCATATAATTTTGAAACAAACTCAATAGATTTTAAAGTCATCTCTGCAAAGAAGTCAGGTTTTACATTTAATGAAGCAGATGTATATTCGAATGAAAACTTCAAAGCTATTGCATGGTTAGATAATGACGATTGCTTTAAGAAAATATTTAAATTCAGTGACTCAAAGATGTCAATAGATGACCTTCGTGGAATGTTACCATCGACGTTTACAGTTGAAGGTTCAGCAGGATTGCTTACAAGATTGTCAATTGGTGGTATTTGGTCTCGTGAGAACATTGTTATAAAATCCAGTATAAGTGAATTTGCTGAAGAATCTATATTATGTCTTTCAAACTACATGTATTCGCCACCGAAGCATTATAGTATAACAAACTTTGTCAGTAAGTTTAACATAAGACTTGTCGAACCTTCTTCAATGAAAGATGTTGTGCTACCTAAAGATGGAAAGGATGGACTCATTATTGAGATGATTTTAATTGCATATTAAATGAGCTTGTTCTTGAAGGTCAGTCATGATGAAATAACTGTTGTAGAAGATGTTAGCAATTGTTCAGACATTTTGAAGCGAATAGATGAGATAAGAAAGAAGTTTATGAATGAGAATGTTTATGTTTCATTGACTTTCTCCAGTAACGAGAACTTTTATGAGATAATATTGAAGAGAGATGATTTTAATATGGTGTAAATGGTAGCTTGGGCAGCTTTAGGCGCAATGGGAACAAAAGCATTAGCATTTGGAGCAAAAGCACTTGGAGCTTATGACGCAGTAAATAAAATGAGTGGAGGAAGAGTTTCGAAGACATTAGATGCAAATAAAGGAAAGATTGGAGGCTGGGTTGCAAAGAAGTTAAGATTAAATAAAATAGGACTCATAAATAAAGCATCCAATTTGGTTGCGACTGAGTCAGAAAATGCTTTAGGAAAGGACGATGAGTTTGCAAAACACGCAAAAGACTTTAATGACCAGATGAAAGGTGAAACAATGCATTTAAATAGAGTCGATGGAACTCTTCCTCCACCAGTAGTTCTTCCGTATGGTCCCTATGGAATGTATGGAAACCCTTACGAAAGACCATTTGACCCATTGACTGGTGGAAGTAATTGGTATCATTACGGACGAAGAAGAAAGACAGTCAAGTTGGAGACAGACGTGAAGAAAGCAACTAAAAAGAAACCAAGGAAGAGAGTTATAAAGCAATGAATTCATGAGGTGAAAAAAGAGGTGAAAAAAGAGGTGAGATTTCACCACTTCACCTAAATTTATTTTTTCACCTCTGACAACGTTTATTTTTAAGTTTATTTTATTATTTAGCGAGAACGTTTATTTTTATATAAATGACAGAACAAAAATATAACATTTCTACTCAGCAGGAATGAGACCCTTACTGACTATGTATTCGTTTAATGCTTGATGAAAACAATGGTACATATTATCGTATGGGTATACACAACGTCTGTTTCCATCGTCGTCGTATATGTAGAGCTCAAATCCAGTCCAACCTTCTTTTGTACAATATGTAGCTTTATTTAAGTATGCATTTATGTAGATAAGGCAATTTTCTTCATCGCTCCAGAAATAATTTTTCGTCATTGTTGAAATAGTTTTCGTTCCTCTGCGACCATAAGGAATGTATGCAATGAACTTTGCGTCATAAGGGATTGTAATATATTCAGGGTTTCTTTCATCGTCAATGGGTCTGTCTTTGTTAAAATGCATGTTTCTCAGTTTTACTTGAGTTTTGAATAGTTCACGGAAACGTTCTGGGAAAGAGTCATAGTAAATGTAGTCGGACATGTCTTTGTAATGAAATAAAAAATTTAAAAAAAATAAAAATAAGGTTATTTTTTATTTAGTGAGGACGGTAGTGAAGTCGTTAGTGAAGTCGTTAGTGAAATCATTAGTGAAGTCGTTTATGTGTCAGATAGTTTTGTAAATATTTAAGGTTAAGTTGGTGTTATGGTTGTGTTGTAAAATATACGTTACTGGTTTCGTAAAGTGTCAAAACCGCTAAGTGGTGTACGGAGGCGCGCAGTGCCGCTGTACACGACTTAGGGATACTAACTATTCCAAGATCGAAGCAGTTTTACCAATATTAACAGTCACATTTCCAGAAGGAAACATGTTACAACACTCATTAGTTAGTACACCTATGTGTTTTAGCACCATTCAAATCTATGATTGGTTCATCTAGTTCATCATTCATTCAAATTGAAAATCCATACAAAAAATTATCTACATTTCGATTCGAAGTTGACAACGCAGATGTTTTCCATGTTGTTTCTAAACCAACATTCACAATTGATGCCCATGATATTAAGAACATCCAAATCAAATACACGTCTAGTAAGATCAGTGTCAAAGAGACAGGAATTATCTTATTCCATTCTAAAGATTCAGGTAACTGGTTTTTCCAAGTCTCTGGCTACGGCAAGCCTCCGCAAGCATTGTCACCAATGATTGTTGAGAGTGCAATCAACCATTCAGTTTCTAGTTCAGTTGTTTTCACAAATCCATTCTCTTTCCCATGCATGTTCGAAGCAACATTGATCAACGACATTCATACCAGTTCCAAGAATATGGTGAGAGTCAACATATTTCATTCACATTCACATCTAATAAACTTGGTCAATTCAACGGCACTATCATTGTTACTACTACAGGCAAAGGTTCACAGATCTCATGGAATTTCCCTCTTATTGGAATTACTACACAGAACTCAGAGAATTCTACACTAGAACTTCATGGTAAAGCGAACCAAGTCATTCGTAAGACTATTGATCTTCCTCTTGCAGGTGAAACAAACGAACTGAAAGCGAGTGATTACCAGATTTCTATTGATTACACTAATGGCAATGACTGGATTTCTAAGTAACTGACAATTCACCCAGAAGATGTTTATCAATCCAATTACACTATTATGTTAAAAGTTTATATCCGTCCGAAGCGACCTATCGAAACAGTCATCCATTTGAAGATCGAAAACGATAACAAACAGACATGGCGATTCTCAGTTAAGTTCCACATTGAACCATCACTTGTTTCTAAGAAAATGACAATCATTTCGACATTGAACAAAGTTGCTAAAGCGAAAGTATATTTAGACGAAATCATTGACGAAGACACCGACTAAACAATTAAGGTTAAAATATTGAAAAGAAATAAAGTCATTTCAAGAGCCTTGTACCGATAAACTAGCCTTGTACTGCCATTTTATGGTGATGTAAAGTATTCAAAAAATTTGCAATGTAAACCATTACATGGCAGAAACTTTAAAATAAACAAAAACATGACACTTAGTACAGGGGCTTTTTGGCTGGTGAAGTCAGATAAAACGTGGCTCAAGTGCTCGTTTAAAATTAAAAATGGAATTTCTCACAGTCGAATTTCTTGGTAGACAACAAAAGTTTATCATCAATTGTCGCGCCGAAGGTATGACATATAGTCAAACTAAGCTTGCATGGGAGGAAGAATACCCAGATCTCGGAACTTTAACATCCAATCTCATTGCTACTGCACTTAAAAGAGCTGCATTAGGTCTATACTGGGAAAAAGGGAATCATGGCGGTGCAGATCCATACCTATGCGAGCGTGATCAGCTCACTTTAAAAGAAATTATCGAAGATTCTGCTTACAAAGGTGAAGCTCTAGAAGCAGCTGACATTATTGACGAGGCGTTCAAGTTGAAAGAGCTCAGAAGAGATTATGGTTACAGATTCCTTCTTGAGATTAATTGTCCTACTCTTGCAGAAGAAGTTATCAATACTCTTGGTGGTGATGATGTATCGAGACCTTATGTTAACCATATTTTACAGCAATTGCATTGCAAGCTTAAGGCATTCCGAGAGATTGAAGAATCAAGATACATGGCGTGTGAACCAAGAATTATCGAAGAATTCTACGATAAACATCGTGAAACAATCGAAAGTACTCCAGAGGAGTTGATTTTTAGTATCGATGAAACATTCATAAACAAATTTAAGAAGAAGAAAGTTGCATTACCTGAGGAGATAGAGCATATGATCGCCAAAGGAATTCCAAACTTTCCGCACATTACAGCTTTATGCGGATGCTCAATGACAGGCAAATCTGTCCCACCTCTCTTTGTTCTCCCATGTATTGCAGAACTACCTAGAGAACTGAAAGTATTCCAGCGCGAAAAACATTGTTGGTTTACTTCTACGCCAAAAGGCTGGGTGAACAGAAGTGTATTCTTATTGTATTGCATTTTCTTCATCGAGTGGCTTAACTTTGAACGCCAGAGAATGCCAGAAGATATACGTGACAAGCCTACTCTCATTGTGTGTGATGGACACTCCAGCCGCGAGAATCCTCTGGCATTGTTCCTTTTGGCAAGTGCCAACATCAAATTAATTGTTCTTCCCGCACATACAACACACATTTTACAAGTATTTGATGTTGGCATTGCCAAAAGATTAAAGTCCAAATTCACGGATTATCTAAGAGATTACATTAAGGCACCGAAGCAAGAGTTCAACAGCAATGCTGCAATGATGCGCTACGCCAGTATCTACTCATTTATTAGCGCATGGCAAGAATCAGTATCATTAAGAACGGTTCAAAATGCTGCTGCCGCCTGCGGTCTTTGCCCTTGTTCTGTAGAAGCTCTCAAACATAATAAGTATGTTCGTGAATTGACTCCTGCAGAAAAAGAATTGCAAGAGAAAAGAAATTACCGTAATCGAAATCGTTTTAACATCAATGGTGAAGAATTGACGACGATGGACATGATTTGCGCAATTTCTGACAATATTAAGAAGAATCCTGCAAATCACAGATTTTGCAGGAAGCCAGAACAAGACACCAAGGAACGTTTCTACTTTTGGATTACAAACTATCTTGATCCCAGCACTGAGTTGTTGACAAAACTCCCTAATATGCCAGGTTATAGTCCAAATGATTAGGAAAATTTTCCAATTTTCCAACAAAAATTTTCCAATTCTCCACCAAAAATTTTTAATAAAATATTATTTTACGGCATTGCCCGTCACTTTTTTTCGGTACAAGGCTAATATCACGGTATAACCCCCCTGAAAAGACTTTAGAAATAAAAATTTGGTTGTCAATTAAACATATGGAAATGGAGACAAAATTCTTTTATCTGTTATTGATGCAACCAACTTTGTTCTTAAAGTTGATTGTGAAGTTATATATGGTGTTTCACAAGAGGAAGTTTGTGCGGAATATGCGTTTCAAGGAAGTCGAAACACTTTATCATCTATTACGTTTCCAGAAGGATCTAAACTTAAAACAATCAACGATTGTGCATTTACACAATGCAAAAAACTATCATCTGTTGACTTTTCGAACTGCAACTTTTTAACAAATATTGGAATCAAAGCATTTTATGGATGTAGTACTTTATCAAATGTAATACTTCCTACAAACTTAGAAATAATTTCGAGGTATTGTTTTGGATATTGTGATATTAGATCAATAAATATTCCAAATAATGTTAAAGAGATGAAAATATGCTGTTTTCAATTAAATAATAATTTTAAAACAGTGACAATAACTGATAATTCCATGTTGACACAAATTGAAGAATATTCAATGCAAGGATCTATTATCGAAACAATATTTTTACCAAAAAATGTTAATAACTTTGCAGCAAACTGTGTAACTTCAAGAACTTTAAAAGCAATCACATGCAATCCATCGAATCCAACATTTTCTGTTATGGATGGTATCTTGTATAACAAAGAGAAGACAATGTTGGTCAAATATCCTGCAAATCATGGAACATCATTTGAAATACCAGAAACAGTAACAAAGATCGGATATTGTGCATTCATAAATTCAGGTATTGAAACAATATTATTCCCATCAAATCTTAAACTAATAGAAGGATGGGCTTTTTCATATACAGATTTGAAAACACTAAAAATTCCAGATTCTGTGACAGGAATATATGACGGATGTTTTTATTCTTGTAAATGTTTGACAGATATAACTTTAGGTACCAGAATGACATTTATTCCTTTTAGATGTTTTGGTCTTACGAAATTGACGAAAATAATCATTCCTGATAATATTACATTAATTGGAGATTATGCGTTTTCCGATTGTCCAAATCTGAAAGAAGTTGTATTGCCTTCGACAATAACAAATCTTGGAGGTTCGTGTTTCCCAACAAATGTAAATATTTCTTTCCCGAGTGATGCGAAACTATCTCTTGATGATCAGCAAATTCTTTACGATCTCGACAAAATTGTTTTAATCATGTGTCTTAAGAAGAGTTCATCATACATCATTCCAGAAACAGTTTCTACTATCAGAGCATCCGCATTCAAAGACATGACAGACCTAACTAAGATTGAATTTCGCTCAGGCACAACACTGAAAACTATCGAGTCCAATGCATTCTTCGGCTGCATTAAACTATCATCAATTGAGATTCCTAACTCAGTTACATCATTCGGTGAGAAATCATTCTATCACTGTGTCCAGATCAAGTCAGTCTTCTTCGGCAGCAAACTAACTAAGATATCAACACGATGTTTTGAAGGTTGTACATCTCTTGACACAGTCAGCTTCAGTCAATGTAACAGTCCTTGCACTATCGACTCATATGCATTCAGTGGATGCACATCTCTGAGAACACTCACACTTAGTGAAAATATTTCTAGCATCGACATGTACTGCTTCAGCAACTGTGCATCTCTTGAAAGAGTCAACATTCCATCGACACTGAAATACATTGGTATATACGCATTCTCTAACAGTATCATCACACAAGTCACATTTTCATCACCAAGCCAAATGGTCAATCTTAGCAAGTACTCATTCAGTCAGTGCATACATCTTCGTGATATTGTTGGCATCCCAGAAACTATCGAGAACATCGAATCTAACTGCTTCGAGTCAACACAGATCACATCATTTGATGTTCCTATCTCAACTACATCCATCGGCAACTATGCATTCCGAGGGTGCTCCGAGATGACGGTCTTCAGAATTCCATCACGCTGCTTGCTTCAAACTATCGGTAACTACATCTTCGACGGCTGCGTCTCTCTGAGCAAGATCGAATGTCCAGACAGTGACTTCTTCGTCATCGACAACGGTGCTCTGTTCAACAAGAACAGGAGCAACTTGATCTGCTTCCCACCTGCATCTTCAATCACGTTCTTCTGTTTCTCACAGAACGTGCGGAGTGTCTCATCTAGTGCATTCTACGGCTGCAAGAGCCTTGTTGGCATCATGATCCCAGATGACTCTATCACTACCATTGGTCACTCAGCGTTTGCATACTGCACATCTCTCAAGTACATCAACATCCCTCTTTGTGTCAAGAGCATCGACCAGAATGTTTTCACAGGGTGCAACAGCCTTCACTGCGGTGTTGTTGTCCAGAACACTAGTATTTCATTCCGCTACTCTCTCGTCACGAACAGCGGTCTTAGTCTCACATCGATGAAAGACTGTGGTCTTATCACATGCAAACATGTGAATTACCAAACACCTGTTTCGAATTCTTATCTATATGTATTTATTTTAATGTAAATCTTAATCTATAACTATTACATATTTTCAATATAACAGTATTTTTATGATTTATTGAATCTGATTTAAATCTTAAAAATCTTTAATTAATTGTAATTCACTTTTTATCAAATATAACAAAATCAATCTCAATCATTCTAAATAATATTTATTGATTAACAAGCAACGCTCTGCACAAACATATCACCAATGTGAATAACATTTTGTTAATATTTTAATTTATATCTATTTAAAACATTTCTAAAATCTTAATCACGTTTTGGAGATTGGAATTTTTGGGAAGAAACAGATGGAAATCTAAAAAAATTCCAAACAGTAAAAAATCTGAATATCATATTATCATTTTAAGGCTGCACTTACGCCCATCTGACTTTAATTCTAATTTTTGACAAATTGCGTGAAGCATAATTGAAAATTAACCTTAAACATCTGAATTGAAAGCCATGTCATAGGGGCCTAGGGGCACTTTTAATAATTTTTTTTAAATTAAATAATTGTTATTGGGCGTTTTTGCACTCATTGTAAAACACGTAATCTAGAAGAAAAATCATAAGCATATTGGATGTTTATATATATATTAAAGTTGACTCAAATAAAAATCTGGTTTATAGAAATCATAATTTATAAGATCAGATTGTGAGCTTTACAAAATTTACAATATGACTCATTAATTAGAGTATTATGATGTAAATTGAATGAGTAAAACTGTTTTTCAATTTGAATAATGGTATGAAATTAAGAATTTTGAATGATTAAAAATTAATTTTTTAGTTTTGCATGAACATCTTCATATTACATCATATATCTGACTACAAATAGATTTTGTTTAGCTATTTTTTAGTAACAAATCTTGACATCATGCTTTATTTAATTATTAAATATTTTGCCTGAAAAATCAAAAACATCAAGGTTCAAAAAGTCTGTATTCTTAGCTGTTTTACCTGTCTGAATCAATTTAAATGAAACAAATTTGTCTTGCGTATTAAGTTGATATTTGCGAATTTCTCCTTGATTTAGTGTGGATTTCATTACTTCATGGATTACTTTATTTTCTCCTTTAATTGTAGTTCCTTCAACTTTCCATGTTTGAAGGCGACATACATCAGTATTAATTGGAGCAGACCTAACAATGTATTCAGTTGGCTAAATTGAATAATTTTCTTTAATTCTCCATTGAACCCATTGATAAGGTTTATTCTGTGCTGCAAATTGGGTTGTATTAGTATATGAATTTATATAACCAAGTGATCCATCAAATAATATTGATGACGCCGACATTTCAACGTTACCACTTTTGAAGTATTCTATGACATGTTTACATGCTCGAGGTTGGGAGTCTTTTCTTCTTAATAATGAGTCTGCAAAAGATTTTATAACATCATGGAAGTTATTTTCGTCTGCTGTATCTATGATTTCATTGATTGTTGTTTCTTTGCAAAACTCTAAACAGATATTTTTAAATAATGGAGAGAAAACTCTATCTTCTCTTACAAGAGAAATGATGAAATCAGCAAGCGAATCTTCATCTTCAATTTCAAGTTTATCACTGCATAATATTCTTTGAAGAATATCAATTCCAAGTTTTTGTGAAATCAATTTGAGTTTATTTGTGTCTATTTCATAGAAATGTGATGATATAAACTCTGTGGATTCTATTATTTTTTCATTTTCTGATGTTTCAAAATAAAATTCTAGTAATTGAATGCAATGATCTTTATCTATTTCTGTCATTGGATCAATGAAATTCCTTTTATATAATTTAATTAATTTTTGAACTCCAAGAACTCTTCCAATATTAAACAGATCTTTCAGAATTACTTCGTCACATTCAATTTCGTCTTTTTGATATTCAAATATATCTTTTAATGTATTATATGTATCATTGGATCTGATTTCTACATAAATTTGAATTTTTTCAATTCGTTTATCTAATAGATATTGCGAATAAAAATATTCTGAAATCGCAATTGCGAAAGATTTTGAAAGTGATATTTCAACATTGTTGATTCCGAATATTACTCTATCATGAGCTTGATAGTTATTTATCCTTTTTAATTTATGGTTATTTAGTTGAACCAACACCATTTAAAATGGAATTTTGTTGGGGGGAAAAAATCCATAAAAAATTTTATCGTCTTTTTTGCATCTTCATATTTTGAGATGTTTACATTACAAGTAAGAAATAGGCATAAATGAGGTGCAATAAAAACTCTAACTCATTATATTTGTGCATGTCGTATGCTTGTGCAGAGCGTTGCTTGTTAATCAATAAATATTATTTAGAATGATTGAGATTGATTTTGTTATATTTGATAAAAAGTGAATTACAATTAATTAAAGATTTTTAAGATTTAAATCAGATTCAATAAATCATAAAAATACTGTTATATTGAAAATATGTAATAGTTATAGATTAAGATTTACATTAAAATAAATACATATAGATAAGAATTCGAAACAGGTGTTTGGTAATTCACATGTTTGCATGTGATAAGACCACAGTCTTTCATCGATGTGAGACTAAGACCGCTGTTCGTGACGAGAGAGTAGCGGAATGAAATACTAGTGTTCTGGACAACAACACCGCAGTGAAGGCTGTTGCACCCTGTGAAAACATTCTGGTCGATGCTCTTGACACAAAGAGGGATGTTGATGTACTTGAGAGATGTGCAGTATGCAAACGCTGAGTGACCAATGGTAGTGATAGAGTCATCTGGGATCATGATGCCAACAAGGCTCTTGCAGCCGTAGAATGCACTAGATGAGACACTCCGCACGTTCTGTGAGAAACAGAAGAACGTGATTGAAGATGCAGGTGGGAAGCAGATCAAGTTGCTCCTGTTCTTGTTGAACAGAGCACCGTTGTCGATGACGAAGAAGTCACTGTCTGGACATTCGATCTTGCTCAGAGAGACGCAGCCGTCGAAGATGTAGTTACCGATAGTTTGAAGCAAGCAGCGTGATGGAATTCTGAAGACCGTCATCTCGGAGCACCCTCGGAATGCATAGTTGCCGATGGATGTAGTTGAGATAGGAACATCAAATGATGTGATCTGTGTTGACTCGAAGCAGTTAGATTCGATGTTCTCGATAGTTTCTGGGATGCCAACAATATCACGAAGATGTATGCACTGACTGAATGAGTACTTGCTAAGATTGACCATTTGGCTTGGTGATGAAAATGTGACTTGTGTGATGATACTGTTAGAGAATGCGTATATACCAATGTATTTCAGTGTCGATGGAATGTTGACTCTTTCAAGAGATGCACAGTTGCTGAAGCAGTACATGTCGATGCTAGAAATATTTTCACTAAGTGTGAGTGTTCTCAGAGATGTGCATCCACTGAATGCATATGAGTCGATAGTGCAAGGACTGTTACATTGACTGAAGCTGACTGTGTCAAGAGATGTACAACCTTCAAAACATCGTGTTGATATCTTAGTTAGTTTGCTGCCGAAGAAGACTGACTTGATCTGGACACAGTGATAGAATGATTTCTCACCGAATGATGTAACTGAGTTAGGAATCTCAATTGATGATAGTTTAATGCAGCCGAAGAATGCATTGGACTCGATAGTTTTCAGTGTTGTGCCTGAGCGAAATTCAATCTTAGTTAGGTCTGTCATGTCTTTGAATGCGGATGCTCTGATAGTAGAAACTGTTTCTGGAATGATGTATGATGAACTCTTCTTAAGACACATGATTAAAACAATTTTGTCGAGATCGTAAAGAATTTGCTGATCATCAAGAGATAGTTTCGCATCACTCGGGAAAGAAATATTTACATTTGTTGGGAAACACGAACCTCCAAGATTTGTTATTGTCGAAGGTAATACAACTTCTTTCAGATTTGGACAATCGGAAAACGCATAATCTCCAATTAATGTAATATTCTTAGGAATTATTACTTTTGACAAATTTGTTTCTTTAAAACAATTACCAGGTATATATGTCAAACCTGAACCAAATATCACTTCAGTTAAATATCTACAAGTAGAAAAAGCTCCATCACCAATGTTTTTAACAGAATCAGGTATCGTTAATGTTTTCAAATTTGTAGAACAAAAAGCCCATCCCCATATTGAATTTATATTTGGAGAAAATTTAATTTCTTCAACCAAAGATGAAATGAAAGCACAATATTCAATTGTTGTCACTGTATCTGGAATTTCAAAATATTTACTGTGGCCTCCAGGAAATCGAACAAGCATTGTCTTTTCATGATTATATAAGACGCAATCCAATACAGAATATGTCGGATTTGATGGATTCATATATATTGTTTTAAGTGTGAAAATTTCCAATGCATTTGCTGCAAAATCAGAAAGTGTTTTTGGAAAAAATATTGTTTCAATAATAGATCCACTCATGGAATATGGTTCAATTCTTGTCAACATTGAATTATCTGTTATTGTTACTTTAAATAGATTAAAATTATACAGGAAACAACCAATCTTCGATTCTTTGACGTTATCTGGAATATTTATTGATCTAATATCACAATATCCAAAACAATTACTTGAAATTATTTCTAAGTTTGTAGGAAGTACAACATTGGATAGAATGCTACATTCATAAAATGCTTTGATTCCAATACTTGTTAAATAGTTACAGTTGGAAAAGTCAACAGATGATAGCTTTTTGCATTGTGCAAATGCATAATCGTTGATTGTTTTAAGTTTGGATCCTTCTGGAAACATAATAGATGATAAAGTGTTTCGACTTCCTTGAAATGCATATTCCGCACAAACTTCCTCTTGTGAAACACCATATATAACTTCACAATCAACTTTAAGAACAAAGTCTGTTGCATTAATGACAGATAAAAGAATTTTTTTTCCATTTCCATATGTTTCATTAACAACCAATTTTTTTTAAACACCGAGACAAAATGTATCACTATCCAAATTTTGAATAGTTTACATCATATCCAAATAGATGGGAAGAGATACAAAGTCACAATGAGAATTTGGATAGGGATAAATATTGTATATAGCAATACTATAACATGATATGGCATCCTTAACCTTATCGTGTTTCGTTTATACTAAAATTTTCAAGGAGTTTATTCTTGTTGATAAGTGTTGAACATTGCTTCTCACTATGATTAAACATACTTTTTCATTGTTTACACATGCTTTTCCATAAATTTCTAAAGTTGGAAACGTAAAATACTTGTATAATTATACATGAAAATATTTGTAATTCAAACAATAATAATAAAATATATACCATAGAGATCAGGAGAGATACTTCTGCCATGATATTATTCTTTATCTGTTTCTTAAAAGTTACACAATCACAATCTTCATATTATGCCAGTTTCAAAAACAAAATAACTAATTAAGAATAGATTTCATATTTACTAGACAAAAACAAAAAACAAATTTAGAATCCAAGATTATAAACAACAAATATCGCCAAACTTCCACCAACCATTGTCTTATCATACAGTTTGTTATTTAAAACATTGATCCCATAAATACTTGTTTGCATAATATCTCTACATGTATTAGAAGGCATATGATAAGCATCAACACCACAGAATGTGCTATAATCATAATAATAAGTCACAACAACATTTGTTTCAGGATTAAATGCTGGTGGAAATTTCGTGAAATCTTTTTCACCACAATAATATACAATTTTCAAGGGAGTATTTGAAAACAAATTTGCTCCGATATAATTAGCATTACTATTAATTAATAATGACCTTTCAATATTCGATCCATAAAATGAAAAATTTCCAAAGTGTTCAACTGAACTTGGAACTTTTTTCATTGAAATACAGTTCTTGAAAGCTCCATCACCAATATATTTAACAGAAATAGGAATATTATAGTTCAAGTTCGAACAATCTCTTTACAATTCGAAATCAAATTCAAAACTCAGTAGAAGAAAGGAAGAATCGACTTACTACGGTTGTAATACGAATAAATACATATATTTAATTATTTTTATTTACATAATAATTGTTTGAAGCTCATATTCCATCAAATTTTTAAATAAAAACATTAAAATGTTGAAAATGTTCATATATTTTAATAGGGTTTTGGCACTTTATTGAGGAATTACTACATACATAGTCGAACTGAACTTGATATTTTGAAATTTAAATTATTTATCAAAATTAAAATTTAACTTGAAATTTATAATTATTTAGTCATATTTTGCATAATTCTAAGTAGATTTTGTAAAAAATCAAGAAAGAAAAATTTTAACGTGCTTTATTTTTCTTTTTTATAATAATACATATTATTATATAATTAACATATTCATAATGTTTCACCCTTTCAAAAATATAATCCTCCTCCTCTCAAATAAACGTACATACGGGTGGCCTCTTTTTTCAAAAAATTAAAATTTGAAATTTTGGGCTCAAATATTAGAGATTTTTTCAACCTTCAACGATATATGTTGTCTATATCAGACCTCCTTTCTTTTTGATACTTAACATTGTTCCTAAATCTTAGCCGTTAAGGCTGTTCTGAAAATATTTTTTTTTCGAAAAAATTCGAAAAAAATTCTTAAAATTCAAAAATCCCTTAATTCCTGAGGATTTTGGAAAAAAGTTTTTACATGAACATGTGTATATTATATGAAGTATATTGATAAGGTAAAAATCAAATTTTATTGCATATTCATCGAGAAAATAAACTAACGAATCCCTCAAAATTGAGAGGGTAATCCTCCTCCTCTCAAATAAACGTACATACGGGTGCACCCTTAAATGCTGAGTTTCCTATTTTTTCTAATTTTGTTAAATAAATATTAAATCCTGATAATTTGGAACAATTTCTAAAAGCATAACTCTGGATCACAGACAATTTTGAATTTGAACTAAACATTAAAAATGAAATTGTTGAATTTTCGAATGCACTTACTCGAATAGTTTCTACTGTTTCAGGGATCATAGTAACGCTATTTCCGTAGTTATATCCCCAACATTCATATATTTCTGTTCTATCATAATTCATTACTATAGAATACGTATCAATTATCAAATATGGTTCAGTAAGATATGAAACTGAAATATTTTTGATACTTGAAATCGAGCCAAAAGAAAATAAAGTTTTGTTTGTGAATGAAATTGTTAATTTGGGAGTATCATGATTGCATAAAGAACGTGAGTCAATAATCATGGATGTATTAGGAAAAATAACATGTTCAAGATTAGTACACCAAGAAAAAATAGAATTACCAATTTCAAATGAACCTTTAAATGTAATATTTATCAGTTCATAGCAGTGACTAAAAGCACAATCCCGGATCTTTTTTACATTTTCTGGAATTATAATTGATGTAAGTTTTGTACTTCCAAAACAGTAATCTTCTATAGTAATGACAGATTCGGGAATTGTTATTGACTTTAATTTGGAATTGAAAAATAGTAGATCCCCTAAAGTTGTAACGCAATCTGGAATTTCAAATGTTTCGGATTTATTCCAAATAAAAAACAAAACTTTTTTGTCCTTTGAAAAAACAATATTGTTTTCAATTTTTATATGCTCATTCTTATCATCAACCGTTAGATTTGTTAATTCGGAATTATCGAATGCCCAGCCATTGACTTTTGTTACTTTTTCTGGAATTCGAAAAGAAGTGATTTGAGTATTAGTAAAAACTTCATATTCTAAAGAAGTTAAATTTGATCCTTCTTCAAAAATAACATTTTTTAGAGAATGACAAAAACTAAATGCAGCTCGACCTATTATCTCTACAGATGCTGGAATTGTTACGTTTGTTATGTGCTCAATATTATGAAAAGCAGATAGCAGTATTTCAAGAAGTCCTTTAGGTAAAATTAATTCTGCTACATTAGAGCAACCAGAAAATGCACTTTCTGAAATTTTTGTAAGTTTGTTGCAGAAAGATAAATCAATAATTTTAATATTATTGCATCGAGAAAAACTTTCTTTCCCTACTACTGTTAAGTTAGGATTTTCTTCAAATGTAAAATATTCCAATGATTTAAGCTCGTAAAAGCATTTTTCTTCAATGATTTCGCATTGCGCAGATATTCTGAGGTTTGGATATGGATCTGTAACTTTTGTAAGAGTTTTTCCGTCTTCTGAATAACATTCGCTATCAATATCTTTGTATTTAATAAATAAAACAATAAGTATCATGATGAATTATCTATTGTTTCTTCTTACGATGACTTTTTTTGTAATGGTAGTGAGAATTAATGAAATTATACATAAAAATGAAAAAAGTGACAAGCATAATCTCGATTACCCCATTTAATCTAATTTAGCTCCTGAAATAAATAAAAAAGATAAATTTATTTTTAAGAAGAAGTCTCATATCAATCATGATGGTAAAGTTCTGTGATCAATAAAAATGACCAAGATCTCAAGGTTTATTATTAAGTTTTCTCTATTCATTATTAGATTATCTTTTACTATTGAAGTTTTATGTTTATTTTCACTTAAAAATCAAGTGGCTTCTGTAAAATTAGTAAAGAATTTTTATTTAAAAAGATATTGCCAGAAAATATCAGGCGTGTTAGCATAGATTTGTTTGATAGATTGAAGTTTGTTAGTTTCGTTAACAACTCTACATTGAATAATAATTTTAAGATAGTCGACAGTTTTGTTATCAATAAGAAGAGGACATCGAATTAATCATTAAAAAATAATGTGATTGCGTTCAATCTATAGATATATCTTGCCTCAATTAAAAGGCGATTAGACCTATTTATAAATAGCAGTGAATTTATAAAGTAAATTTTAGATGTGGTTATAATTTTTAAGCGCTCATAACTTTTGACCAAATGACCTATTCGCATACTTTTGCATCTAGTTTTATGGCATATGCAAGAAAAACATCAATAAAGCACAGATGTTGAAATCAGAACAAATCTAACGAAACATTATATTTGAAGTGCGCTTATAAGACTCAATTGGCAACCCAATTAACAATATTATCAAATATAAGGTCGCCAAAAAAAGTGCGGAAATTAAAAACCGCAGTTTGAGTACTTTCTGAGAGTCTGTTTGTCAGAAAGTATACATTTGTAAACTTTCTGAAACTAAAATTTTTTTGGTTCTTTCAAAGTTTTTGACAATGTCAAAAAGTATACATCGGGGCTCTCAATTTTCCTCTCAAACGGCGGTATTTTAAAAACGCTCATTTTTTCATCGACCTTAATATAGGGTGTCCAAAGGTGCGTTTAGCACAGCGCTCTATATGAGACTATTAAAGGAGATATATGCTGATTATAAATATATAATAAAAAATATGAATATATGTATATGATGAGTATGTTGTATTTTGGCGCCATGCCGGGATATAAAATGAATTTTGAGACAAGAGGCGGTTTCGCGGGAAATTTTGGCGGGATTTTTTTCATTTTTTAATGAATCATAAAGAAAACATCCTCGCTCTTGCAAAAAAATGCAAAGACTGTAAAAAAATCTACGAGACATTGGTAAAATGCTTCGGTATGGATGCTCCTAGCTATTCCACTGTAACGTATCATGTTAGGATGTATCACTTCATGAACAAAAAGGCGCCCATCATAAAAATTGACAAAAAATCGCCGGATCAAAGAAAAATCAAAGCAATTCTTCAAGCGCTAGATGAAGACCCAAGAGCATCACTCAGAAGGATAGAGGAGATGACAAAGATACCACGTACAACAGTCAGTTATTATCTGCACAATTATTTGAACAACAAACTAGCGTATACACGTTGGGTTCCGCACAACCTTAATTCAGTTCAAAAAAAATCTAGAGTCCAATCTTCGAAAGAGCTCCTCTCTATATTGGGTGCGTATCAATCCAAGAAGTTTCGCTTTTTAGTAACAGGGGACGAGTCTTTTTCAATATGCAACAGAAGCCAAAATCATGTGGATCCCGAAGGATGAAAATCCGCAAACATTCCCGAAGAAAAAAATTGACACACCAATGATGATGTTGTCGGTTTTTTGGGCGTGAATGGCATCATCGCAATTGATATTCTTCAAAAACCTAATACGAGGAATGCTCAGTATCTAATTGACAATGTTCTTACTCAAATTATCAATTCTGATGAGTTTGAGAAATCCAAACAACAAAAACAAAAGTTTGCAATTCATTTTGATAATTCAAGAGTTCACAAAAGTCATAAGGTAATGAATTACTTGGTGGAAAACAATGTCAAAGTTGTTCCAAACCCAATTTATTCACCTGATATTGCCCCCTCTGACTTTTATTTATTCGGCACGCTAAAAAAGAGAGCTGAAGGACGCGAATTCGCGAGTCCAGATGATCTTGAAAATTTTGTAAGAGAGCAATTTGAGCAATTTTCTCATGATGATTTAAAGCGTGTCTTTCAAGCCTGGATCGATCGCTGCGAACGCGTGATTGAATCCAATGGTGATTATATTTAAATAAACTTTATATATATGTAACTTGTTTATTTCTATTCGCAGTATTCAGGTTTGTGCTAAACACACCTTTGGACACCCTATAGCTAAAAGTCTATTTTGAATACAAAAAAAATTATTTTTTAGAAAACTTCTTTTCATACATGAGGAATGTATCTATATATCGACTAATGATTTAATAGTCTATCCTTTGCCTATGAAGTTCATATATGAGCTCATATTGATTATAAGAGCACTTGTATGCAAGATGAAAAAATGTTAATAGAAAATATGAATAAAATTTTTATTTAGAAAGATGTCTCCAATAGGGATTTGGTGAAGTATTACATATTTGTTTCAATAACTTGATATTATTAGTTCCATGAACAACTCGACAAGAAATAATAAGTTTTGGAGGAATTCCTGCTTTCACAATCATTTTAAGATAGTCGACAGTTTTGTTCTCAATAATCAAAGGACATCGAATAGATTTGCAATTGTTGAATGCAAGTGTCGAAACAGTTTCAACTGAAAGAGGAAAGTTAATGTATTTTAGGTTTTTGCACTCATTGAATGAATATGATTCAATTAATGAAACACTGTTTGATGAAAGACTGATGTTGACAATGTTGTTGCTGTGATTAAATGAATATCGACAAATAACATCACAGTTGATAAGTAGAACTTTGTCGATTGATTTACTCAAATGATAAATAAGATCTAATTTAGTATTATTTTTATAATAAATAGTATTATCAATGCATTTGTATTTATCTGATTCGAAATTACTTATACTTTTAAGAGATTCACATCCTGAAATTGAATTGATTGATATTTTTGAAAGAGAATTTTCTTGTGAAAATGTTATTGATCTAAGATTGTTACAGTTAATAAATGCATATTCTGAAATAGTTTTAACACTTGATGGAATAGTAATTTTATATAATGAATTACAATTCTCAAATGATCTAATTCCAATTAATGTTGTTACTTCCATAATTGAAATAGTTGATAGGTTTGAACATCATGAAAAACATTTATCTTGAATGTTAGTCATACTACTTATACTTTCTAAATTAATACAATTTTCAAATGCATTATTCATAACAACTAAATCAGGAGATCCAAAACTCAATGCTTTCAAATTTATGCAATCTTTAAATGCTGAATATCCTAATGTTCTTAAATTTGCCAAAGAAGAATTAAATGAACACAATTGTCTACAATTTCTAAATGCAAATTTCTGAATAACAGCTAGTTGTGAATCTAATTCAAGACATATATAAGATATTTCCGAATTTTCAAATGCACTTTCAAGAATTGTATTAACATTTTTATGAATTGTAATTCCATTTGAGAAGTTATATCCCCAAAATTCATAAATTTCTGTTTGATCAAAATTCATTACTAAACAATTGGTGTCAATTATAAGATTTGGTTCAGTCAGATAAAAAATAGATATGTTTGTGTTTCTTTGAATTGAACTTTGTGAAAATAACGTTTTGTCAGTAAATGACATTCTTAATTTTGGAGAAGTATCAGAGCTAAAGGAATGTGAATTAACAATCATAGGGTTATTAGGAAAAATAACAAGTTCAAGATTTGGACAGTCATCAAATAAATTATTGCCAATCTCTAAAGAACTCAAAAATGTAATATTGAGTAAATTGGAACATAAAGAAAAAGCCTTATCACCAATATTTGATATAGAAGTAATTTTTGTGGATGAAAAGCAATTATTTCCTATAGTTGTGACTGCAGGAGGAATTGTTATTGATTTTAATTTGGAGTAATAAAATAGTTCGTTTCCTAAAGTTGTAATATAATCTGGAATTTCATATGTGTCAGATTTGTTGCAAATAAAATACAAAATACTTTTGTTTACGGAAAATACAGTGTTATTTTCAAGTTTTAAATGCTTATTCTTTTCATTAATGGTAAGATTTGTTAATTGAGAATCAGAAAACGCAAATCCACTTATTTTTGTAATTTTTTCTGAGATATGAAAGGAAGTAATACTAGTGAAAGCAAATACACCACTTTCTAGTGATGTCAATTTCGAATCTCCCTCAAAAATGACATCTTTCAGTTGAGAGCTAGAATGGAATGCATATTTACCTATTAATTCAACAGATGCTGGAATTATAATATTTTGTATGTTGCTACAACTGTAAAAAGCAACGTCTTGTATTTCATGAAGTTCGTGAGGTAAATTAATTTCAGAAACTTGATTGCAATTAAAAAATGCATTATTAGAAATTATTTTAAGTTTTCTGCACAAAGATAAATCAATAATTTTAAGATTAATGCAGTAATAAAAACTTTGACATCCAATTACTGTTAAGTTAGGATTTTCTTCAAATGTAAAGTATTCCAATGAATGAAGATCGTAAAAGCATTTTTCTTGAATAATTTCGCATTTAGCAGATATTCTGAGGTTTGGATATGGATCTGTAACTTTTGTAAGAGTTTTTCCGTCATTTGAATAATATTGTTGATCAATATCTTTGTATTCAATGAATAAAGTAATGATTATCATGATATGTTAACTATTGTATCTTCTTACGATGTCTTTTGTTGTAACGGTAGTAAGATTCAATGTAAAACATCTGTAAAAAGTGACACCATTTCTCCCTTTCAATGGGATTGAATTTATGATGATAAAATGTTGTTAAACATAATTTAAAACATTACAAAATGCCCATTAGAAAATAATATAATAAACTGTTTTTAATAAAATATTGTATAAATAATTTTGAAAGTTATGGAAAAAAGTGACGTTATTTACAAACATATTTTCTTTTAATTTCTCTTTAAATAACAATAACAAAATAAATACTTATTAAATTTGTCAAAAAATTGAAATAGTGATTTTTTTAATGTAAATGTTCAAACTATTATTGACCTACTTCAGCATTTGATTAATCAGAGTCGTTCATATTTACATCAAATTGGATATCATCAATATTAATATCGCCAACATCTATATCTGAAAAGCTGTCTGAAAATCCAGTATGTACATTTTCATTTCCATTGGATTTTTCTTGATCTGGTTTGTTGATCTCTTCGATATCAGAAACTATATCTGAGTTATCTGATATTTTGTTGGTTTCTTGATTTTCTGTGTTATTGTCAGGAGTTTTATCTGTTTCTAAAGGGGATTCTGTACTTAAATTTTTCGTATTTTGTTCTGAAGTTTGATTATTGGGACGACTTTGTGTGTTATTTGTATTGTCTTTTCCATTTGATTTTCCGCTTCTATTTTCATTATCTGGAATGACTTGTTCGTTTTGATTTTCAATTTCTTGATTATTTTGATTTGTTTGATCCGAAATTTCTTGAATATCATCTTTATCATTAATTTGTTTACTTGTATTTGTAGAAGTTTCGTCTTGTTCGCCGTTTGATTCCGATTGTTGAAATGTATCTTTGAAATTTTGTAGTTGGTCGTTTTCAGGTTGATTCCCTAATGAAATGTTGGATGCTTTTTCTAATGTATTGTCATTTTTCTTATTAATTCCTAATGATGAATTTTGAATATCGGTTTCCCCAGTAAAACCATTGGACATAATTGAATTCCGATGTAAGTTGTTTGTGTTCGATTTAATAATAAGATCAATTTTAGCATTTTCATAAAAATTGATAATTTTTTCTTCTGAAGATTTCTTTGCTCTATCTGTATTAGTAATGTCATCAATGTTTAGTGGAGATTCTGTTGGATTTATTGAAATATTTAGAGAATTAAGTTCGTCCTGAATCGTTTTTAGAGTTTCTTTCATTTTATACTCTTGCAAAATACTAAATATGCAATTGTATGCAGTATTCCATGCTGATGACTTCATGTTTTTAACTTTTGGTTGAAGATTTTTAAAAATGAACTCGTGGTTATTAGTAATTTCATTACAGACATTGGAAATATATTGTGCTCGAAAATAATTGAAAATTCCTTTTGAATTTAATTCCTCTTGGACTTTAAAAGAAAAATCATTTTGATTCATAATAAAAAATGACAGGTTTATTTATCTCCTATATGCTTTAACTTAGATGAAATTTCGTAATTTCTTGGAAGAATGCTAAAAACAAGTTCATATATAAGATTTTATATTCATTAGCGTATAAAAAAGGTATTATAAGATAAATATTAACAATTTGATAGAAAATAGATATATGGTATGAGTTATGACTGAAAAATAAATCAATAAAATTGATTTTGGGTAATTTGTTAAATAAAGCTAGATATATTCAAAAACCTACTATATAATAGAATATTAAAGCATATTTTACATTCAAACAAACAAAAATTATAACATGGAAAGTAAATCTTCGCCAAGATTAAGTTTTGAAAGAGCTTTTGAGAGATCAAATACTCCTAACGAAGTAAATTGGTCGGACAAAGTATACAAAATCATTTTTCTCTTTTCATCATAAACAGAAGCAAAAGAAAATTGTCTAGGAACCTTGAAAAAGCCATTTTCATTTATTTTTCCTTTGTTTTCTTCACCTTCTTTAGGTTTTGTATGAAAAATGAACCAATATTTCCTATTTACGTCGAATGCAAACAAATGTGTTGTTTTATTTGTACTTGTGCCTCCAAAACATAGTATGTAGTTTGGAAATACACTAACTAAGCCTGGGTATTTGATATCTGGTAATGGAAATTGACCATGGTTCTTAATTATTTCGAAATCAACTGTTTGCATATCTAATATTAGCATTCCTTCATTGTCTGATGATCCGTATATATAGATTTTGTTTTTCATTTGCGTATAACTGGCCGCTGCCCTTGGTTTTACTTCAGAATTCACTGATGACCATGAATTGTTCTTAATATTGAATATATAGACGTTTGAATCGGTTTCTCCATTTGGTAATTCACCACCCCAAATATATATACTGTCATCAAATGTTCCCATGATAGAATTTGATCTTGGAGAGGGAGATTTACCAATTCCAGTGACAAATTCAACTTGCAACGTAGTAACATTGAATCTGTAAAGGTCATTGTAATAATGGAAGCTATTGTTTCCGCCAAAAATAAAAAAATAATCACCAATCATGATTCCAGAGGAATTGGTCCTTCCTTCTCCAAGATTTTGTATTAAAATTGACATTTCATTTGTTTTTACATCGTAACATACAAGATCTGATGCATAATCTAGATTTTCTTTTTGGCCAAAAGCGAAAAGGATTTTTTCAGTTTCAGAATGAAATCCGTAAGCCATTCCTTGTCGTGGAGATAGCATCTGACTCAATGTAGATATATTGTACCATGTTGCGTGAAAAGGAGTTTTTGCAAGGGAATTTACTTTGATTTGTTCATCTTTTTCAAAGAAATCGATTCCTGAGTTGTTAGTATTGCATAATGAAGAATACCCTGCAGAAACTATTGCATCACTATGTACAACTTGGCTTGCTCCAGATCCCATCAAATTTCAGTTATATTTTTTTGATTGATGAAAGGCCAAAACGATTCTCAATTAATTTTTTTGAAATGTATTAACCTCATTCAATTCAATTTTTATCGATTGAATATTGAACATATCAAAGAATACTAATAAATATATAAAAGTGAAATGAAATGTCACTTTTATTTTAACCTTAAAACTAAAGTGCATGATGATAAATCATCTAACTAATATAATATATGAATCCACACGAAATTGCTATTTAATATTGCAAGTATAAATGCTCAAACGTTGATTTTTCAAAAATTCTTTCGATAAATTATTGTCAAAATTCAATTTTATTAAATATTTATGAGTTGAATATATTGGTAAATTCATAAACGTGATCAAAATTGCATAAATGGTATAAATTCGATATCGTCGCAGAAAATATTTTCTTAATTATCGCATATCAATAACTCAGTTAAAATTCTTTAAATATGAAATATTTTTAATTTTCTCGTTTTTTTATGAATTCATAAAATCCAAATCGATAAATTCATAAAATTAATGAACACACAAATGTGTATATTGTTTGTTGCAAAAAAACTATGAGTTCAAAAAATTGAATGATATTTTTATTGAATGGAATGGGAAAATTTTTGTTTTTTCATAATGGCAAACAATCTAATGTAATATTATAAAAATTAAATTTTGATAACGAAGAATTGAATTATCAGAATTTTTTTTTCAATATAATTGATTTTTTGCATCAATTAAATATAATAAGCATACATAACCCTATTCAATTTATGTTTTTTGTTATTCATCCAAAAAAAAATTCAATGCTTTGAAATGGAATAAAATATCAAGAAATGCATCATACAATACTTGACACAATATGTGTTATTGAATGAAGTGAAATCTGAATACGTAAACTTCTGAAAGTAACCAGCCACTATAATTTTATGAATATTATCTACTTATTAGGTATTTTAGCTCCAAGCTTCAATAATAACAGCCAGCTTTTTAATAACACCGACTTTGACTCAGGAAACAATGCAGATCATCCAATCGACGCAAAAGAATTTTCGGAAACTTCAATTTCTCCATTCTATTCCTGTTCACTTAGAATTATTGATTCTTCATTCTTGTCATTAGCATCGTTCCAAAGAGATGATATTCCTGAAGCCGGCGGAGCAATCTTTGCTGCATCATCAACTGTTGACATAAAGTCTTCAGATGATGCAAAAGAATGTAAATTTTCCGATAATAGCTCTCCAGTTGGAGGAGCATTGGCCTTATCCTGTTGCGACACCATAATTAAAAGGGCAAAATTTACCAATAACACAGCGTATTTCGCAGGCGGTGCAATATACGTTGATAATATGGAAAAACTAAATGATCCCAACTTTCAAATTTACATATTTGATAGCAATTTCGAAAACAATACAGCAGGAGACGACGGAGGAGCGATAGCATGCTTACTTCTTAAAGATTGTTACATTGATAACTGTGGTTTTATGGCAAATGATGCCAAGCTACGTGGTGGCGCAATTTTTTCCGAAATGACAAAAATTTCTATTTTTGATTCGAAATTCGATACAAATACAGTCGGAAAAATTGTAAATTCTAAGCAAGACACTGCAAAGTATTATGATGCAACAAACAACAAAAAATATTTAGAAGATTATTCTTATCATTTCAGAGGAAGAGGTGGAGCTGCGATTTATTTCCAGGGATCTAAATCTAATGAAACTACAGCAAGTTTATATACTCAAAATACATGTTTTCGAGACAATCAAGCCTATCGCGGAACAAATCTTGCAGAAAAGTGCAAAGACCCGGCCATCATTTAATGTTTGACCTTAGTTGTAAATGGAATTCATATAATGATGCCTTTGTTGGTCCCAATTTCGAAGATTCATATGCTCATGTCAACAGAGAAAACACTAACACCGTATTAGATATGCATTATCTACCAGGAAACAAAGCAGATTGTCCATCATCTGGTTTATCATCAATATCTCCTGCAAAAATCGTAAATTATGCAAGAATAAGTAATATTCAAAATGATGAACAAACAAGTTCAGTTCCTAATCCTTCATCATATACTTATGTTGCAACACCAATTACTAAACTTCCACAACCAACAACTGAATCATATGTAACATTTCCAACAACAAGTAAGTTTTCAACTCCAGCTACAAAAACATCAAATACAATTCCATCTCCAACACCAACAATTGAAGAATCACCATCAAAAGTTGTTGGTCAATCTGTAAAATCGGGTTATGATGGTGATATTTCATATTCATCAACAGTTACTGTTACACAAACAATTATATTTATTGATACATTTTTAGAAACATTAACTGAAACAACAATCAACAATAATGATCAAACATTAATTTGGACATTTTCGTCAACAATTATTACAAAAGAAACATTTATTAACATTGAAATTGTTTATGAATTTAAGAAAGGTTTGGATGCCAAAACAATTATTTTAATTGCTGTTTTAGCATGTGTGTTTATTACAAAAGAAACATTTATTAACATTGAAATTGTTTATGAATTTAAGAAAGGTTTGGATGCCAAAACAATTATTTTAATTGCTGTTTTAGCATGTGTGTTTATATTGATGCAAAATTTGATTGAATCAATTGATTCCAAAGAGAACTATGTTATTCGGTTTGTATATGGTGTAAATCATACCAAAATAGCATATGAATAAGAAAAATGATTGAATTAGCAATACCAATCAAAAAAAATTGGGTTGAAAGTTACAAGCTCTCAATTTTCGTCCCTTTTGTACGTTTATTATAATTGTAGCATATTGTCATCAAGCACGCGACTAACCAGCAAAGACGTGTCCTCTAATTTCATCCCTAGTTCAAGAATCTGGAACTATTTAAGCAAAAACATTCGATTTCAAAATCAAGCATTCTTTATTCAACGAGTAAAACATTAAAGTATGATTTGTCATACACGGAATAATGACAAGCTCTTAGAGTATGTTTAGTACAGAGTTACTGCCAACTTGAGTTCTTGAATTTGGTAAGTTAGAACAAAAGAAGCCATATGTCGCATCTAAGGACTTGTACTTATCAGAGTATTACTAAATGTTTAAGAATGTTAGTTATTCGTCTCAAACTCGTACGTTTCCACGCGAATCTTGATAATAAATATACTATTTTGGACTTTTTGCAATAAATCTCTTTTTACCACATTAGCATATCTGTGTGTATGCTACTTAACCTCTTTAGAGACCATTAAGATAATGTTTTTTGATACTTTTTCAAGACTATGCCATAAAGTAAACGAATAATTTACAAAATGATATTAAAAAATTTAATTTTATTATGCTTTTATAAATATTGAGACTTTTTAGGACTATTTTAAAAATGTAAATAGATCAATCATTTTAATATTAGATAAGATAATCTTATGGCATTCCAAACGGGAACCGCGGTTGGTTACCATGGATTTCCGTCACCGGTCACATTTTAAAGATTTTTAAAGCCTTATAAAAATATGCTTTGTAAATCATTTTTTGTAAATCGGCAAAAATTTGGTAATTTTCTTCAACTAATAAATCTGCGAATAGCATTTATAATACAAGAACAATCTTTTAAAATGCGTTTGATTCATTTTTGTATAATTTCATATAGGCACATATATTCTTCCGGGACTTTCCGTGATTTTACCGTAAAATCATTAGTTTACACCAATTTTTCCGTATTTTGAATAGTTTACTGCACTTTTTCCGTAAAATTGAGTTACGGGAATCCGCAAAATTTCCGGACCTCATTTTTCATAGAATATAATAATAATATTTGATAAAAAGATATATTATTTATATTTTTGATTTTTGAATTACGGAAAAAGTGAATTGATAACTTGATTTTTTTATATGGTTAATTTTTCAAATGATATTATGAAGATCTAAAATATTAAAAGTAAAAAATTGAATTACGGAAAAAGTGAGGTCAAAAGTGAAATAAATTTGCAGAACAATTTTCATTGAAATAAGCTTTATTTTTCATTATTAATAACAATGCTGTAATAAACAGAAATTCATCAAAAGTGACAGCTCTCAATTTTTTGACATTTGTAAATTCTAAATTGAATGAGAAAAATGAAATAATACTAAGCATAATACAATATTCTAGATTTAATTATAATTAGGAAAAAGTTAGTTTTGAGAGTACTTTTCATAGGCATATAGAATGAAATCTTCTGAAAAATAATATCACATAAACTCATATTATTTTCTAATATATAACTATTTTATATAAAAATCAAATTCAATGATCTTAAAAGCGAAGGATAAACCTCAAAATTTACGAATATAATGAGTGGGAATATAATGCTTATCTATCATAAAACCATATGAAATATCAATTTTTGCTTTACGCCTAATTTTTGACGACAATTAGCAAAAAATGTTAAATGTTAACACTCAGTCCATTTGAATATGAAAATAAAATTGACTTTAATTAAATTTTTTATTTATCATGCAATTCTTCTTGCGACCAAAGATTTGAATAAAATTTCAAAAAATAAGATAGCTTAAAAATAATATACGGTAGTGTTTACTAATAGATGAATAGTATATAAATTCTATTAAAATGGATTTGATCCAAAAAATATATAAAATTTGATCATAAATAAAATCGTTTTAAATTACTTCTTCATTTAAATTATAACAATTATTTTTGGTTTTATAGTTTTTAAAGCTCATGTGGTTTTTTTAACCACAGAATACTTATGTGCTGTAGCAAGCTTGCAATCCAAAGCTCACGTTAGACAACAAGAGTCATGAAGTCTCATACTAAGGGATATCCAACATATATTTTAATAATCTAATGTTTGTGACAAATATTCAACATAAAATTAAGTTTTCGTTTCGTTACAAGGCATTCATACTTTGGAGATATCATATTTAATGTACAGAAAAGTTAATATTAAACAATACATGCTAAAGAATTAATAAATAAGATAATAAAATAAATTTATACGTAATTACTTTCATTTAATATGCTTTATGCTGTATAATATTGATTAAGAGGCATTAAAAGGTTCCATAATCTGCTTTTATAGGCAAGATTTTTGATAAAAATTTTAAATTTTGAAAAATGATGAGAAAAGGGAAAAAAAGGTAAATGAGAGCAAGAGGAGGGAAAAAAAGAAAAAGAAAAGGAAGGGAAGGGAAAAATAAAAGGAAGAAGGACATATAAAAATTTAGATGCGCATTCTTAATGCCGAGGCGGCTTGCCGCCGAGGCGCGATTTTTTTAGGCCTCTACGGTAACCCGGCAATGTTTTTTTAAATCTTGTACAGCCCTAGATAATCTAAAGACGTCAGATGTTTCAATAACTTCAGATCAATGACTAATATGAAATTTAAGATTTGTGTTAATTTAAGAATTAACAATGGAATCTGGTTTAGAAAGATGGAAAGCATAGAGAATCTAAAGGATAAGAGAGATTAAATACAAAATGCTGCATAAAAAGGCAGATCAGTGAGAAGAAATCATGAGGTTAAAAAGGAACATTCAAATTAGAATATAACATTGCATATTACAATATTAATATTAAAGATAATACTGCACATCATTGTGCAGTGATCCATAAATCAATATTAATATCTCATATGATAAAATCTAATATCATATTACAATATTAATATTAAAGATAATACTGCACATCATTGTGCAATTACACTATTTTAAATATTTTCATAAATAATGACTTACAAGTTAAAAAAAATGTAGAATTAACTGCATGATCCAATATTGGACCGAATGTATGTTTGAATCTATAACTGAATTCATTAATGACAAAAAAGTGACTCTATAACTGAGTATCTGGCTGACAATATGCCTGAAAGTTTGAATGTGTCTAGGAATATAACTGACAGTTTGAGTGACATTTTGAATGAGGGTTTGGTTGTCAGTATAACTCAAGGTTTGAGAGAGAATATGACTCACAGTTTGACTGACAATATGACTTAGAGTTTGAGTGACAGTATGAACAACAGTTTGGGTGATAGTATGAACTACAGTTTGAGTGACAATATGACTGACAGTTTAACACACACTATGAATTAGCTTTTTAGTTAGAATAAGACTGACAGTTTGAGTGACAATATAACTGACGGTTTGACTGACAATATGACTGTTGATTTGAGTGAGTGTATGATTGAGAGTTTGGGTGACAATATGACTCATAGTTTAAGAGAGTGTATGACTGATGGTTTTAGTGAGAATAAGACTGACAGTTTGGGTGACAATATGACTGTTGATTTGAGTGAGTGAATGACTGACAGTTTGACTGACAATATGACTGACGGTTTGACACACACTATGACTTACGGTTTTAGTTAGAATATGACTGACAGTTTGAGTGACAATATGACTGACAGTTTAACACACACTATGAATTAGCTTTTTAGTTAGAATAAGACTGACAGTTTGAGTGACAATATAACTGACGGTTTGACTGACAATATGACTGTTGATTTGAGTGAGTGTATGATTGAGAGTTTGGGTGACAATATGACTCATAGTTTAAGAGAGTGTATGACTGATGGTTTTAGTGAGAATAAGACTGATAGTTTGACTGACAATATGACTGACGGTTTGACAGACACTATGAATTAGCTTTTTAGTTAGGATAAGACTGATAGTTTGACTGACAATATGACTGTTGATTTGAGTGAGTGTATGACTGAAAGTTTGACTGACAATATGACTGACTGTTTGACACACACGATGACTTACAGTTTTAGTTAGAATATGACTGATAGTTTGACTGACAATATGACTGTGGTTTGACAGACACTATGAATTAGCTTTTTAGTTAGGATAAGACTGATAGTTTGACTGACAATATGACTGTTGATTTGAGTGAGTGTATGACTGACCGTTTTAATGACAATATGACTGACGGTTTGAGTGAAAATATGAATTACGGTTTTAGTGAGAATAAGACTGATAGTTTGAATGACAATATGACTGTTGATTTGAGTGAGTGTATGACTGAAAGTTTGACTGACAATATGACTGACTGTTTGACACACACGATGACTTACAGTTTTAGTTAGAATATGACTGATAGTTTGACTGATAATATGACTGTGGTTTGACAGACAATATGACTGTTGATTTGAGTGAGTGTATGATTGAGAGTTTGGGTGACAATATGACTCATAGTTTAAGAGAGTGTATGACTGATGGTTTTAGTTAGAATAAGACTGACAGTTTGGGTGACAATATGACTGTTGATTTGAGTGAGTGTATGACTTCGGTTTGACAGACACTATGAATTAGCTTTTTAGTTAGAATATGACTGACGGTTTGACAGCCTCTATGACTTACGGTTTTATTTAGAATATAACTGAGAGTTTGGGTGACAATATGACTCATAGTTTAAGAGAGTGTATGACTGATGGTTTTAGTGAGAATAAGACTGACAGTTTGGGTGACAATATGACTGCTAATTTGAATGAATATATGACTGTCGGTTTGGGTGAGAATAAGACTGACAGTTTGGGTGACAATATGACTGTTGATTTGAGTGAGTGAATGACTGACAGTTTGACTGACAATATGACTGACGGTTTGAGTGAGAATAAGACTGATAGTTTGAGTGACAATATGATTGTTGATTTGACAGACACTATGAATTAGTTTTTTATTGAGAGTAAGACTGACAGTTTGACTGACAATAT